AGTTTCGGGCGCCGGGCGAGTAGTTTTATGTACATTTAGCCCGGCTCCGGACAAGCAGAGGTGAATGTACATTGTGGAGCCGCCGCCACTCGTTAACTACAAGTGGTCTGATCAGACCACTTGTATCAATTTGAGCATCAGCGATAGTTTCTGCCCGCACCCCTGCCGTAGTTTTCGGGGTTGCCCGCTCTCCTGGGGGACCCCGAAAACTATGGTTCAACGGCTCAGCCATAGAGCCCGTAGAGCAGACGAAGAACTACGGGCTCTCTGTGTGTTCTGTCCCGGCTGTCAGGAACTACACAGCTGTTCTGTGTTGGAGGGCAGGTTCCATAAAGAGAACCTGTCACCTCCAAACTATCACATAAGGGATTTGAATCCCCTATGTCAGTGGTGGCGAACCTATGGCACGCGTGCCAGGGAGGGCACGCGAGCCCACGTTTAGGCCCTAAAACATTAAGGCAGCCGAGCTGTCTAATGTCGACGGGGAGAAATCGTCGGGCGAGCGAGCAGGAGGAGAAGGGGGACGGAGCGGCAGGGGGTGGAGACAGAGGGAGATGGGGGCGGAGATGAAAGAGGACGTGAGGAGACGGGGACGGAAGGGCATGAGACAGGGGGCGCAGACAGGGGGAGATGGAAGAGGCCTGTGAAGATTGAGGCAAAGGCAGAGACCGCGATGGAGGAGGCGTCGCCAAGGGGCCAGTCGAGCGGCGAAGCTGAGACGATTGGGCGCCGAGGCAGCAGTGAAGGCTGGGCTTCCGGTGTAAGGTAGGAGCACTGTGCTGGCAGGGCCCAGCATAGATTATGCACAGCCCACCAAAGAGTCACAGGTGGGCTGTGCAATACCTTTTGGTGGGCTTTGCAGCTTGCAAAGCCCACCACAGATCCTGCACCACCCCCCTGAGATCTGGCAGACTGCAGGGTCTCTGCAGGATCTGTGGGGGGGTTTGCAGGCTGCAAAGCCCCCCACAGATCCTGCACAGCGCCCCTGAGATCCGGCAGACTGCAGGGTCTCAGGGGGTCTCTGCAGGATATGTGGGGAGCTTTGCAGGATCCGTAGGGCGCTCTGCCGCCTGTAAAGCCCACCACAGATCCTGCACAGCCCCTCTGAGATCTGGCAGACTTCAGGGTCTCCAGGGGGCTGTGCTGGATCTTTGGGGGGCTTTGCAGGGTCTCAGGCCTGTGCAGGATCTGTGTGGGCTCTGCAGCCCCATGGTGGGCAGAGCCCATTATAAATCCTGCACAGCCCCCCTGAGACACTGCAGGGCCTCCAGGGGGCTGTGCAGGATCTGTCGGGGGCTTTGCAGGGTCTCGGGCCTGTGCAGGATCTGTGGTGGGCTCTGCCCACCATAGACCCTGCAGAGCTAACCACAAATCCTGCTAATCCCTCCTGAGACCACAGCTTTCCTGCTATGCTAATAGCAGAACATGTCAAAAGCTGGATACAGTGTTTGCACTGTATCCAGCGACTGACAGGTCATGCAAAAAGTATTTAACAGGAAGGGGTGGGGTAAATTTAGTGGGGGTGGGGGCGCCCGTGTTTTGCCTTGCCTAG